AGCAGGGGGGTCGACAGGGGTGGGAAATGATAGGTGAGCTGGCGTGCCCGACCCGGGCCCCGTCCCGCACTTGGCTTGTTTGCCAGTGACATTTCATAATGATTTCCAGACAGTGACAAATACCTCCTGTCTCTCAGGCTCCCGCGAGTCAGGTCCCCGAGCCCCGTGTCTCCACTCTCCCCATTCCTATTTTCGCGCTGCTCCCACCTCTCGCGACTCCCACCCCCTGAGCCACAAAGTTTTCCCGTCAGAGATTTGGAAAGGAATGGGAAAACCAGTCAGGTTTTCACGCGGAAACGAAATATCGGAATGAACTTGTCTCTTTGATCTTGGGTCACGCAATTTCTTTGAAGCTTTTGATTTGATGTTACCCTTCACTCTGGCCGCCATGTTGATTTCGGCTCAGTGAATCTACCTCTAGCTCAACTAACACTTGAGACTTTGAGACTTCGCTGATTTCACTCACCAGACCTGGCAGGCAATCTCCGAATGGCGCGGAGGAGCAAGTCGGTAGTCCTCGGATAACAAGAAGCAAGAAGCCCAGGCACAACAATTATCCAGAAAGTATCGGTGAGTCTCGCTCAGCAGCTCAACAGCTCCACACACGACATCCGGCACGCTGCTGCACACTTGTTGTTTTGGTCCGTTGTGTTCGGCACGGCAAACAAAAACATCTGACAGTCGTAATAGTTTTGGGATGGGCAATAGGCCCTACATTGGTTATTCGCACCCAATTAGCTATGGGTTATTGTTTGCTATGAACGTACACAGGGAATGCAAGAGGTGAAATATCAAATGTTCTGATACGACATGAAAAAATTGCATATGAATGTGTCGATGATGGAATATGGCCGAGTTAGTTCATTGGCATGATATGTGCGCCCTCTGGTGTGGTGAAGCAGGGAGTACATCTGCATGTAGTAACGTTCTTCAGTGCGTGGAGTATAGCCGACTTCGTACCAGACCATCATTCGTGAAAGCAACCAGATGCAAAATTACCATCTTCATGAGATGGAAGGTGAAATAATAGACTCCTCGATGAATTGTTTTAAGTTTAGCATGTACATAGTAACTTTATTGTATAAAGTTGATTTTTAATTTCTACAAGACAAAGACAGTGTTAAATATTCAGACAATAGAAAAATCATTCAAAGTTATGCTTAAAAATTTCATGGTAAACAATATTT